GCTAAGAGAAGACACTGGAGTGGTTGAGACTGAAGTAGCTGCATACTCCAATCTGTCATAAGCCACCTCTTCTCCCTGAGCAACTTCCATGGTAGGTACAACCACAGTTTCCAACTTTTGCCTTCTCCCACTGTCTTCCTTTGGTGTCTTGGTTTTCTTCCTAAGACAGGCATTCGAGGATACGAAGTTATAGAATATGTGCAGTCCTAGTGCCTACCCCAGCTTTAGGAAAAAGGATGAGGGTTCTAGTCGTCCCTATATTGAGGTCAGGTTGTCTAATTGATGCCTGGGCTTCTCTTACACTACTTGTCGCTCATCCTCCCCCTTCTCCTCTGGAGGAAATAGTTTTAAGTCTAGAACCACCGGGACCTCCTTGTTTTTTACGCTTCTTGAGGTATGTTTATGTCAAGCCTTAGATATATAAACTTTATGAGGCCGAGCCCTTTGAGCATGTTTTTTCTTCAAATTTATTATTTGTGTGTGAGCGTTTGTGTACCAGAAGACAGCTCTGTGTCTTTGGCTCTTCCTGTGTACCTTTATGTGGGTTCTGGCTTGTGCGACAAATGCTTTACCTGATGAACCACCCTGCTAGTCCCAGGTCTGAGTTTTGATCCTAATTCTAACCATAGATCTTGTTGCTAGCTATGTGTTTCTGAAAAATAATGTAAGTTTTCTGCATTTCTCTTTCTTTATTGATAAAGCGGGGGTAATAATAAATAGGTCTTAGCACGACATGGAAGTGAGGATTAAATCAGCTAATACCTATGAGGTACTTAGTACCTGACATAGCTTCACTGTTCAGTAGAGGACCCTGTTTTATTTTTTTCATACATTTATAGAATGTCCGTATTAAGCACTATACCAATCGATTTCACACATGGGATTGCATCGTTTATATGGTTTATATCAGAGAAATAGTCATCATCCTACTTTCCATATAAAGACTATAAACTATACAACCCAAGCTCTGGTGGTATAGACTACTTGCCTAGCATACATGATCCTAGGTTCCAGCCCAGCCCCCTTGCCCAAGTTAAAAAAAAATCAACACCTCAGAAAATCCTTGGGCAAGGCTGCACAACTAAGGTTTGAACACAAGCGTTGCCGAGTCTAGGACAGTTCACAAATGATAACAGACCAGGTACTGGGCTTGCGGGCTGTTTCTTCCTTTTCTTAAACGAGGGTTAAGTGGGAACTTGATCTGGCTCTCTGCTGAGATTTCCTTCCTCCCAGTCTTTCTTTTTTTTCTAGTGTCTCCAGAGCCCTCCCTCCCTTCCTCTGTCTCCTCTGGGATTATTTTCTACTGGAGAAACCCTAGAGACTGCTGGGCCTGTTTCAGCTACTGTTTTAAGTGTAGCAGGGGAGTAGTGCAGCGGAACCTTGACAGAAGTTTCTCGAGCACACTTAGTTGGATGCGCCCTGAGCCATTTAAAAGGACAACTTTGAGCTAATAGCCAATATTGTACTCAGTGGGATTTACTGAACACTTGGTAAAGCACTAGATTCTTTTTTTTTAATTTATTTATTGATTAAAGATTTCTGTCTCTTCCCCGCCACCGCCTCCCATTTCCCTCCCCTTCCCCCAATTAAGTCCCCTCCCCTCCTCAGCCTCAAGAGCAATCAGGGTTCCCTGCCTTGTGGGAAGTCCAAAGAACCCCCACCTCCATCCAGGTCTAGTAAGTTGAGCATCCAAACTGCCTAGGCAGATTCTTTACAATATTTTTTGAGAGGCTTCTTCTAATACCCACAATAACATAGGCAGGTGAGGATGCTGCTTCTAACTCCTATAATAACCTAGCCAGTTACTCTTCCATTTCTCAAGAAATCAGGAGCATAGAAAATGCTAGACTTTTGCTTTGCATAACTTACTAATTTAATATAATTAGTAGGACAAAGCTAATACACACAAAATGTTGATAAGCAATACAAAATAGCATGTTATGATGGGCTAAATTATGAGGACTACATTCCTTGGGATAGACTCCCCGGAGGAGATGACACCGGCAGTACATACTTATTTCCTTTAATTTGTATACTGTTTAGTGGCTCATGTCCACAAAGATGTGCAAGTTAATGACCATTGGGAATATCCCCCTTTTACTGCTATGGAAATAATAATTCTGAGAAGCTGTCACTTGTTGACAGCAACAGAAATTAGTAAGTGATAGAGTTGGGATTGTAATCAAAACAGTCCAATTACTGGGATAAATTCTACTAAAAAATGAATGACAATAAAGGAGAGTTGGGAAAAACCAGAGCTAGCTACAAAGTGTGATCAGAGCAAGAAGATGAAGCTCTAGTATAATACAGCTTATGGAGGCTTTGAAATCTGATCCAGTTTGTATTTAAAGCAGGACAGGGTAAAGCATTGGAATTCAGTGGTAGAGAATGCCCCTCCAATTGGGTTGTTGTTTAACCTGGTAGGATCTAAAAGCCACGGGTGGAAATATACTCTTTGGCAGGTGGACATAATACTTTGGACACAGTATTGAGGGCATAACTAGAATTGAAAGGTAGTAGCAGTGGATTCTGGAAGGAGAATTGTAGTTCTATAAAGGTACCAAAATTGAGAGAGGAAGGAAAGAGAGAGAGAAGGGGGAAAGCAGGGTACATAGATGGAACAGGTAGACAAGCCAAAGATACTTTATAAGAGAAGACTTAACAGAGCAAATAGTGGATTAAGCAGTTGGGAAAATCAATGCTTACTAGTTCATGTTTTTGACTCAGAAGAAACTTAGAAATCCTGGATATGGAAGAAAGACCCAAAATAGCATAGGTTCCCTATTTTATAACTACAGTCTCAGTGTTTAGAAGCACCAGCCATAATAATAGATGTATACAGACCTAATAGTAAGCATTCCTCCAACTGGGAGATGCTTGACCACATGACTCTTTGACCACATGACTGCTGGATGCGAGTAACAGCAGCGTTCTCCCAACACCACAGCTTTGGGTATGATATTCCAACCAAGCATAGAGCAAGTGCCTTCTGGGACCTTCAGTCTTCTTGCTGTGTATTCAATGTTCCATCATAGGACAATGTGATTATGAGGATGGGACCTCACCACAAATTTTAGCCACTGCTGCTGATCTATGGTCCTGATGTTTGATAGGTAACTTTCTCTGCCCTTCTTCCCATATATTTCCTTGTTTGTGTCTTTTGCCTCCAGCAAAGCCTGCTCCTCAGGACTACCTTTTTAGACTTTGACTTTGTGCTGTCTGAGTCTTCAGTATTTTTGCATTTCCAGAGAGGCTGCAGGGCTCCTTCTTGACTCTGCCTGCTCATGGGAGTTAGAGAATTTATTTATCCCACTGGATAGCAAGCTTTCTGACAACAGGAGTCCTTATCTGCACCACCAGTGCCCAATAAGGGGCCCATGAATAAATTATTAAATAATATATCATCTAGATATCTTTCTACTATCTACTCAGTGGATTTTGTCCCTCAGCGGATTCATCTTCCTGGCACCCACTGTATATTCCCATAAATTTTCTCAGTGTCTTTCCTTCTGACATTTGTTTATCCCTCTGTCATCTCTCCTTGTCTCTTGTGTTACCTGGCCCTCCTGTGCCCTCTCCCTTTCTCTACTTCTTCTCCTGCTCTCTCATCTGTATGTCTTCTCCTGCTTCTATTCTCCCTCCCGTCAGCCATCTCTTTCTTCCCTAGTTCTACCATGTCCTGGCTTAGCTTTCCCATTCGTAAGAGTGGCATCTAATCATATGAAGTGTGACAGTTGACATGGATGGGCCGTATATAAGCAAGTCACTGTAAGAGTTGCGGTTGTAGGCTTTAGCCCCAGACAGAACCTCTGGTTATATTTGAGGGCATTGGCCGCAGACCTGTTTCCAGTTATTTGCCCCCATCATGCTAAATAGCCAATCTCTTCTGTCACCCTAGCCTGTTCACCACTTTGTCCTTTTTCTTCTCACAAGAGTTTGGACTCTTTGTCATGACTTTGTCTGCAAGTTCAAGTATCTCCTTTATGTGTGTCTGTGTCCATCTTAACCTTCAGTCTCTAGGGCAATTTCATGGTACTTCGTTTCAGTTAGTTCTGTCTCATTCATGAGTCAGCAAGCTCTCAAAAGTATAGACTGTGTTTGACTCATGGTAATATCCCCAGAAATATATGTATTTTAGAAGACACATAGTAAACATACAATAAATACTTAACAGAATTAATGAAGAATATTTGAACAATTCACACTCCACCGCTGACTTGTTAAAGAATCTCAACCACTCACGTCCTTTTGCAGAGAAAAATGGGAAGATTGATCATATTGATATTTTCCCTTAAAGACAAGTGCAGGTAGGCTTGCTATTCATTCGTCAGCAGCTTTTGTGCAATCCACAAATATTACTGAGCATCTACTGTGTGTTTAGAATTAGTATACATCCTTGAGTATGCTTTTGTTTGCTTTGGTTTGTTTCAAGACATGGTTTCTCTATGTAGTCCTGGCCGACCGGGAACTCCCTCTGTAGACCAGGCTAGTCCTCAAATTCACAGAGATCCACCCGCCTCTGCCTCCTGAGTCCTGGGGTTAAAGGCGTGCACCACCATTGCCCAGTGATACCTGGATATGTTTTTTTTTTAAAAAAAAATATTTTTATGCTTTTTTTAACTTTATTTTATGTGCATTGGTGTGAAGGTGTCAGATCCCCTGCAACTGGATCTTCAGACAGTTGTGAGCTGCCATGTGGGTACTGGGAATTGAACCCAGGTCCTCTGGAAGAGCAGTCAGTGCTCTTAACCACTGAGCCATATCTCCAGCCCCCTGGATATGTTTATGAACAAAACATTTCCACTGAACCTGGCATTTTATGTCTCCAGTAATCATCCCTTGGATGAAGGAAATTTGAGTAATGAAGCTAAGGGGAACACTTGGATGTCTACGTTAACTCCTTGGAAGATAATCTAGCTCGTTGAATGGAAAGGGGGTAGGGACGGAAGTCGCTTGGGAAGTGATTTCAGCACTGACTTCCTGGCTCTTTCTTGTTGTAGGAGAAACATCCCCGTCAGTAGGCCGCACTCATGGCATGTGGCCAAGCTATTGGAGGGGTGCCCTGAAGCGGCTACCACCATGCATTTCCCTTCTGAAGCCTTCAGCTTGTCTTGGCATTCTGGTTGCAACACAAGGTGAGTCTGCAGGATGGCCAGCTTCAAGGTGGGCTAGAGGATGAACAGCCTGGTCACTTGCGTCCTCTCATCTTGTCCCTGCTTGATGTTTTAGAGCTGAATGGGTATAGCAGAAAATAGCACGGCCATTTAGAGTCCCTGGGCTCTTATCTAATTGTATGACTACCAGGCTAGCACCATGACTTTGAGTCTGCATTTTTCCTTCTTGGTAGTGTTTCCTTGAAGTACCTCATCTGAACCACAAAAATAACCACCCTGCCCTGATTCTCATTCTGCCTCACTATTGATTCTTCTTCAGATTCTTTTCTTGATTCCTGTTGGAGGCAGTCTTCTCTATCCATAGTCCCTCACTAGGAACTTCCTCTAGTGTTTGTTGGTTCTCTCACAGAGCAGAAATCTCCAAAGCAGCGACCTCCCCAAGTCCAGCTCAGTGATAGGAGCTTGGTGTTGTCCATTTTTAACGAAACAACTGCTCAAGGGACAAATCACTTGTTTGTACCCCAGTTGCAAAGCCAGCCAAAGTATAGTGCTCAGTTGTATTTTCCCTTCAATAATCATGTCTCCCCTCCAAGAGTGATTTTTTTGTTCGGGGGGGGGGGGGGCTCAAGTAAGCTAAGGCGTGATTTTTCCCTAGATTGCTCATTTTATTTGGTTTTAGAATCCAGGGACTCATGGCAGAGGCAGTTTTGTTCTAGAAGAATGCACAGAGATATATTCTAGATCTGGCTCCCATCTGAGTGTGTGTGTACATGATGTGTACGTGTGTATGTGTGTGTGTTCCCACAGAAAGTGAGGTGAATAGCAGGTTCCCTTGACAACAAGAAATGAATGTATTGCTAGCTCAGAACCAACTGAGCAAAGTGGTTAAAGCCATGCATTGAACAAGACAAGGGGAACCTGTTCAGGAGCTCTCATGGGCTGCTGTCACAGCTCAGCTGGGGCTTGGTTTCTGAGCCAGGGCCTTTCTGAGAGCAAACCTGCAACCTGCAAGCTTCTGGTCAAGGAGAGCTAATGGCATTTCTTGGCTCAGTCTGGCTATGTGTTTGGGAAATGGCACTTAACATTCAAAATGATATCTTTCCCTCGATCTTCCTGGCGGGCTTTGGCTGTTAGTAGATAAGGGAAGTATGGGCAAGCATAGCCCCCTCATAGATCATGGCTAATAGTAGGGAGGACGTTGATAACAATGACAGCCGAGAGCAGCTCCTGCCTTAGTAGATGCCTGGGTTCTGACAAGGGCCCTTTGTTTCTTATCTGATTTCATCTGCACAGAGTTTATTATTTTTTCCTATTTAAAAGTGTTATCAGAGAGGAGGTAAGACTTTGGGTGGAGAGAGTCCTGGGTTCCAATTGCAGTTCAGCTTCTTCCGCAGATTGCTGAAATCATCAGTTTGCTTTACTTCATGGCTTAGAAAGTGAAGAAAGTCATCTCATTTGGGCTTCAGATGGAAGACTGTAAAAGGCCTCAGTAAATAATCAAAATTTCTATTATCAAGAAAAATGGTCGGTTCTGAGGCTGTAGCCCCATAGCAGAGCCCTTCCCTAGTATGTTCCAGGTTCTCAGTCCCACCTCCAGCCCTACAAATAAAGTGCTAGCGAATCTCCAGACCAAAGGAACATTTCATCTCCATCCCTGACTGTGCCACTAGTTAGAGTTGGTAAAAAAATAAAAATAAAAAGAAGCCGGGCGGTGGTGGCGCACGCCTTTAAATCCCAGCACTCGGGAGGCAGAGGCAGGCGGATCTCTGTGAGTTTGAGGCCAGCCTGGTCTACAGAGCTAGTTCCAGGACAGGCTCCAAAGCCACAGAGAAACCCTGTCTCAAAAAAAACCAAAAAATAAAAAAAATAAAATAAATAAAAATAAAAAATAAAAAAATCTTCTCAAAGTCACTTCCCTCTCTGGAGCTTTGTTTCATTGACACGAGTGGCTTTCCAAAGTGCGGTGAGGCCCACTGGCCTGTTATAAGGAGCCCTCCATGTGAGTGTGGTGCCTTTGAGAATCACTGCTTTAGGAAATGCTCCGGCTGAAGTCAAATCAAGTCCCATAGGGCTCCTCTCTAATGCCGATGCTTTGAACTGTCTCTGCTGGCAGAGAACCACACGCTGACCCAACAGAGACTACTCAGAAGCAGCTTCAGACTTGCTGCTAGCAGTGACATTGTGCCCAATTCCCATGAGGTTTCCCCAGGCTTTGGGATATGTACTCATTCTTCCTCTCTGTGCAATCCTGTCTCTCATTCCGTCCTGTTTCTGTGCTGTCCCTCTGTCAGTCACCTCACTCCTTTCCTCTGTTTCTCCCTTTGCCTCATTTTCTTTTCATTTGTAACATGGGGTGCCTCTGACTTGACCTGCCCTTTTCCATGGTGGACGGGCCAAGGTGAGAAAAGGGTCTAATTTTTTGGCTAACTCATGCATATGCCTTGTGTCTTACAGTGACGTGTGTGTGCAGTGGTGCCCCCTCTCCCGGCACTGCAGCACTGAGAAAAGCAGCTCAATCGGCAGCATGGAGAGCCTAGAACAGCCAGGCCAAGCTACCTACGAGGGTCACCTCTTGCCTATCGACCAGAACATGTACCCCAGTCAGCGTGACTCGGCCTACAGTTCCTTCTCAGCTAGCTCAAATGCCTCTGACTGTGCCCTTTCCCTTAGGCCAGAGGAACCACCCGCCACAGACTGTGTCATGCCAGGCCCAGGGCCAACTAAAGCCACCGATGGCCGAGCTAATGCATGTGAGACCTCAGAAAGTAGCCACAGTACTAGTGGGGACCGTGGGACCTCCACTTCCCAAGAGTCATCCTGTCCAGAGGAGGGTCAACACTCAGGACCTGCCAAGATGGTACAAGGTCCACCAGAGCCTCCTGTGAGGCGGGACAGCCTTCGGGCCTCTAGAGCTCAGCTCCTCAATGGAGAGCAGCGCCGTGCGTCTGAACCTATGGACTCCTTGCAACAGAAGGAGAAACAAGGCTTAGAGACACTGCTGCCTCCAAGGAGCCCTAACCAATTCTGCTGCGTAAGTGGGCAAGACCAAGTGACAGGCGAGGGCCACCAGAACTGTGAGCTCAGCCAGCCTTCTGAATCCAGCCAGGAGGACTCTGAGCATCTACTGATAGAGGGCTCCTCCAAAGCGCTTGATTCCCCAAAAACCCATGACAAGGGTTCTAGCAGAGAGTTCAGCCTGCTCAAGGAGGCTTCAGCAGATTTGGCTAACCCTTTGTCCTTTGGTGCCATCTCACACCTCCGAGGAAGCACAGAGCATCGCCATAGTGCTCCGGAACAGCTGCTGGCGTCCCAGTTGCAGCGCATGCGCGTGGATTCCAGAGGTGGCAAGGGGATGGAGTTGCCAGCTGGGCAGGATGGGCACCAGTGGACGGTGTCCCCTTTGCACAACAACCCTAAGGGAAAGAAAAGTCTAGGTCTCCCTACAGGAGACCCTCAGGACCAGCCTATCAAAGAAAGGAAGGCCAGGCCCATAGATGATAAGGCGATGGGTCCCGTGTACCAGAGCCAAAGTGGTTCCCCACTTGGAGAGGTCAATGGACCCCTGCCAGAACGAACTTACTTAGACCCAAACCGAGCAAGCAGAGCAGGCAGTGACTTGGCTAGCCAGCAGCCCTCTGCCACTTGCTCCCCTATTCAACAAGCCAGAGACGTCTTTTCAACCTCTAAAGTGGCTGGTCATGCAGAAGCAACTGAAGAAGGTGACAGTGAACCCAAGGAAGGTGGCCGATTAGGTGGCAGAAGGAGTGGAGGTCCCCGGGGCCGCTCCATCCAAAACCGGCGGAAGAGCGAGAGGTTTGCTACCAATCTTCGTAATGAAATTCAGAGGAGGAAAGCCCAGCTCCAGAAAAGTAAGGGTCCATTGTCACAGTTGTGTGACACTAAGGAGCCAGTTCAAGAGACCCAAGAGCCTCCAGAAAGCCCCCCACTCCCTGCTTCTAACTCGGCTCTCCTGTCTTCATATAAAGAAGTCCCTAGCCCGGGAGACAAGCTCTTCAATAAAAGCATGATTCTCAGGGCTAGGTCTTCAGAATGCCTCAGCCAAGGCTCAGAGAGCTCCAAAGCTAGAGTAGGCTTAGAGGGAAGGCTAAGCCCTGGCCAGAGGTCCGGCCAGTCTTCTTTGAGCCTGAACACCTGGTGGAAGGCATCTGACTCACCCTCCTTAGACACTGACAAAGCAAATGCTCCCCCTGGGGTCTGTGGAGGTCAATGGAGATGGTCGCCAGAATATAACCCACAGGCTCATGTGCCACTATCCACAGAAGGTCCTTCCAGCCCAGATGACAGCAAGGAACTGAAGGCATCTACTGCTCAAGCTGGGGAAGAAGCCATTCTCTTGCCGTTTGCAGACAGAAGAAAGTTCTTTGAAGAGAGCAGTAAATCCTTGTCTACATCTCATTTGCCAGGCTTAACCACTCATAGCAACAAGCCTTTTACCCAGAGACCAAAGCCTATCGACCAAAACTTCCAGTCAGTGAGCTATAGGGAATTGAGATGCCATCCCCTGGACCAATCATATCATTCCACAGACCAACCATACCATGCCACAGACCAATCATATCATTCCATGTCACCACTTCAGTCAGAAACTCCCACTTACCCAGAATGCTTTGCTACCAAAGGCCTAGAAAATTCCCTGTGCTGTAAGCCACTGCACTGTGGGGATTTCGATTACCACAGGACCTGTTCCTATTCCTGCAGTGCTCAGGGAACTGTAATGCATGATCCTTGCATTTATTGTTCTGGAGAAATCTGCCCTGCATTGCTAAAGAGAAATTTGTTGCCAAATTGCCTCAATTGTAGATGTCACCACCACCAATGCATTCGATGTACAGCTTGCTATCATAATCCTCAGCATGGTGCCCTTGAGGACAGCAGCCTGGCATCTGGCAGTGCTTGGAAATCCAGGAAGTCAGCAATACAGGTGAGGACTTGGTTCGTGGGGGAGTGAGAGTCATTATTTTGAAATGTAATCACAATGCATTGCAATGATGAAGCCCCGTCTCTACACTCAATCACCAAGATTGCAGTATACTTGTGCAGCTTTAGAGGTTGGGGAAAGAAAGTTTTGCTCCTTAAAATGAACAAGACTGGAATTTGTTCTAACTTTAAAATTAATATCTGAGTGACCTTAAGTAAACCATGAACTAATTATAATGTGAAGTTATGTCATTTTTAAAGGGAAAAATATATTCACTTATAAAACAGCTAGTACTAATAAAAAATAAAAGGTAGGATCCACATAAAAGATAAAAAGTACTAACTGTCTTCTTGCATCTGGCTTATTTTGCTTGATGTAATATTTTTCGTTGTACCCATTTTCTGTAAATGTCATGATTTATTCTTTTCTTTATGAATAAATAAAATTATAGTATGTATAGTATCCAGAGGACTCCAGGTCCTTCCACAGATACACTTGCATACCTGTTGTTATAATTACCATACTTACAACAGTTGAGGACTAGAACCAGCCTAGATGTCTGTCCATCATCAGATGAATGGAGAGCATGGCTCTTCTGTTGGAAGCAAAGGTGGAGAACAGCGTTTTCCAGTGTGTATTTGCACGGAAGTTGAAGGGAACAGGGCACGAAAGCACAGTAAGAGCTTGATATAAATTAGATTTACATGAGTGTGTTAACAACCAACAAATGTACATTAATATTTATAGGAAACACACTTTGCCTAAAATTGTATAAGCAAATGATCAACTTTAATATGCATGCTGAAGTATTCTTGAAGTATACTCACGTGTATAAATTATTGTCATTTCCCGCCTATACATCTTACACGTATTTTGGGTTACATATGCCTACAGTTCCAATAGGCTTTGAAGCTATAGTAAACAATATTGTTTTCTGAATATTAACTTGAAGTCCGTTGCTACTTCTCCATATACAGTTGAACTTTGTATATTGGCTTCATATCCTATAGCATTGCCAAACTCACTGATGAATTCTAGTACCTCATTGGTAGATTATAAAAGATTTTGGACATAGGAGGTTGCATCATCTTGGAATAGAAGGAATTTTGTATCTTTTTCATGTTCTGTATGCTTGTTGCTTTTCCTGGGATCCCCCAATTGCCTGTTCAGAAGGAATGTTGAGAGCAACAGTGTTGCTTGGTTTTCAGGGCTTCCCTGTGAAGTTTGGTGGCTACGATCTTCTAGTGATTGTTGTTTTACAGTTGTTCTTAATCTTGGGGAGAAATGCCCTTTTAGTCTTAGCTTCAAAGGAGCTCTTTTTTAAAAATTAAGAAGGAATTTTGGATTCTTTCAACTGTTTTCCTATTTCTATTAAGGTGCCGCTATAGTTTTAATTTTTAATCTAAATTTATAGTGAGTTATACTGGTTGGATTTTGAAATAAGTATCCACCTAGCATTTCCAGGATAAACCCCACTTGATCATAATGTAGTAACTTTTTATGCTGCTAGATCTGACTTATTAGCATTTTGTTAAGGCCCTTGAATCTACATTTAATACAGATTTTAGTCTGTATTATAAAATCTTTGTTTTTTTTTTTAAGTAGGTAATGCTAGCTAAATGAGGTCTCTTCTGTTTTTCAGGAAGAATTTGTACAGCACTGCTGTTTTTTTCTTCTTTAAGCATGTGGTAAAATTTATCACTGAGCCAGGCGGTGGTGGTGCATGCCTTTAATCCCAGCACTCAGGAGGTAGAAGCAGGCGGATCTCTGTGAGTTTGAGGCCAGGCTGGTCTACGAGAGCTAGTTTCAGGATAGGCTCCAAAACTAGAGAGAAACCCTATCTTGAAAAACCAAAACAATAAAAAAAATTACTAAAATCATTTGGACCTGAAATTTTTTGTGTGAGAATGTTTGAAACTGCACATTAATTTCCCTGATAGAAACAGAGTTATGGAGATTATCTGTTTCTTCTTGAGTGAGCTTTGGTAGATTATTGCTTTTAAGGAATTCCTCTATGTCATTTACATTTTTACATTTATGCAGATAAAATCATTGGGACCCACTCTGAAGGGCATGTCAGAATTTAAGCTGTACCGGTTGATGAGTAGAGGAGGAAACAGGTCCATGATAAGGTGATAGCAAAAATGTCAATTGTAGCATCTCGATAGGACCCATGGATGCTCACGGTAAATGCTTCCATCTTTTTGGTATGTTTGGAAATATTCCCAGTGCTGAAAAAAGAGAAAAGAAAACATAGATAATGCCCAAAAGGCATTGAAGCTGAAACTAGACTAACTGGGTTTAAATTCTTTCCCCAGAATTTATAGTGCCTAATCTTTTCCGTCTGAAAAATGAAGGTAATAACAGCACCTGCTTCGTTAAGGTGGATTAAATGGCGAACATGTGCAAGGCCTTTATAACAGTGACTGCCAGGCAGTAATCATCTTATAAGTAAGCTATTTTAAGATGAAGGGAAATTTGGCTTAGCTTGAGAATCTTGGCTGAAAGAAGTACTCATAGCAAGTAATAAGGAAAGGGGGTTGAAGGTGAATGGAAAGAAGGGAGAGAATGAGTACAGGGATGTCATCTCTGGACCAGAATCTCCGGAAGAGAAGGAAGTTTATTTGACAGGTAGCAGCAGTTGGCTGTAGCAATATAGGCAAACTGTGCCTATGTCATCCCTCTCCTTTTGTACTTGGAGGGACACATTGGGTTCCTAATGCCTGTTAGACTGACTAAGTATATCTGCTTAGACACTAGACTTTCAGGTACGTGGATGACGATATATATAGGGGTATGCCATTTCTACCCTTGTTACTGGAATCCTGTATTTTTGACCCTGTGAGACGTATAGCATAGGTTTAGACACTCTAGCTCTGGCAACTAAGGTAGTTGCTGTGGTGACTGTCTGAAGAAAGCCTGGGAGCCTGCCAGCTCTTTCTGCCATGAAGAAGGTTGGGGAACTAACTAGCTCTGACTCGGTGATATCTAGACAGGTGAAATCAGCTTCTACTTACAAGCACACATGTTTAGGCCAGTTAGTTTTACATATATTGCCAGATGATTTCACTTAACACTTACATGAAACTGGTGAGGAAACTGAGTCTCAGAGAGGTCACACAGCTCACAAGGTGCAGAGCCAGGATCTGAACACCATGAAAATAACGTGTATATGTCTGTCCACTAGATTCAAGCTGCTTTAAATGTAGCAATGCATTAAGTCTTCTAGCAATCAAGAAATAGGTACCCTGGTCATAAATATGCTACCATATTGCAAGTACCATATATTCATGGTATAATGTTTAAAAATGTTAATATATATATGGGTATAATGTGTAGTATCAATATATACATATGCACATATGTATAGCATTTATGTTTATTGTATATAACATATGTGTGTTTATATTATAACAGAGTTAAAAGGGAGTGTGGGCCATCCACTTGCTGAAGGGTAGATGTGGAAAGCGAAGCTCTATTTCTAGCTGTAGCTGTGTTCTGGAGTGTGTGCTACTTGCCTCTCCATAAGTAGATTGCAAAGCCTAGGCCTTCTCCTGTGTAACAGACAGGATGGCTGCTAGCAATATCACTTTCACCAAGACAGCCAGTTCTCCTATAATCTTCAAGTGCTCTACCCACTGTGAGTATGGCTCCTTGGGTTCAAAGAGCACAGAACAGTTTTAGGATACTAAGTGGCTCAGGCCAAAGAATAAAGTAATACTGAGACTCTCAAATGGTCAGTGGGAGTGGGTGAAGGGCTCCGCCTGGTTTACCCACTGCTGTTTTCTAAGCTCTTCCACAGGTCTAGACATCTCATGGACAGGGAATCCTGGCTCATCCTGTAGCTCAACATGTTATGGTGCCTTTGTGGACAGTGACATCTCACAAACATGCCAAGGCAGAAAGAGTCTGAAATAAAGATTGTTCAATTTGCTCTGCTCTATCCCAAACAGAGACTGCTCTCTAGTTTTGTGAAAGCTGGAATCAGAATGTTCTCCCCACCTTTTCCTTGTTAACACCCAGAGGTAGATCCTGTGGTATTCAGGCTGGGCTTGTCCTCCCAAGTGGTCTTACTTCAACAGACTCCCCAGTGCTGTGACCACAGAACCTTCTAGCTACCATGCACTGTGCTGGGCATTCTCTACCCATCTTGTTTGATCCTCGCTGACTATCTTTATTTGCCATATAGCAAACTGAGGTTTGAAGTGGTTTGACAGAATGTCCCTCACATAGCACAGATAATAAATGTCTTAGCCAGTATAACTGACACCAGAGACCTGTGTCATTCTGCTTCACCGGGTGTTTGGCCCCAAAAGAGGCCTGCTAGGGCTAAGGCAATAAACCTTGGAAGAGACTAATAATAGCAGTATTGGAGCAAAGTGAATTTAGAAAATCAGTGCCTTCTCTTGGGCTGAGTCTCCAGGTAGAGGGTGCTAAACACAAAACCAGGAGAAATTTGAAAAGCAAGCATGCATTCAGATTCGGGCTCTAGTAAGAAAGGGAAATTTTTACAAAAGGCATATATGGCTGAGCAATTCAGGAAACTACATCCAAGACAGACAGTCTACTTGTATAGTGTATGAACCAGGGCACCCAATACTACATCTCCCAGAGATGAGCTCATGTCAACCCTTGTCTGAATATGTGGGCAGAGGTGTAAGAACAACTGCAGGATGAGGGTAGCTGGCATCTCTGCTCCACCTTTTCCCACCCTGGGAGAGAGATTCTGCAGCAGGACCCTCCAAACCCCCTTGAGGTCAGTGCTTCCAAGAAGATGCTTTCTAAATTTGAAAAAGCAGGAATGATGGCCAGGTTCATCCGGTAGGATAAACAAAAGATCTCCAAACCCCAGTGTAAGCAAGAGCTAGCGCAAACAGCTAACATGCTAAACTAGTTTTTGGCGTGGTTTGGGAGGGGTGTAGAGCAAGAGGGAAATTGAATACTCTTAGCCCACAGTGTCCAGGTCCTTGAGTGCTTTCTGGATATCTCTGCATGAGTGCCGTGGCTCAGCAGCCTCCCAAGTGCACATGGCTGTAGACTGTCTGGGGGTGTCCGCCCTACCAGCCAAGGAACCTGGGCCAGGCTGCTGTTTGGAAAACTACCTGGAGACCTGGACATTCAAAGTTGCCTAACTTACCAGATTTTCTTTTGCAGGAATTTCCTGGGGACAAGTGGAAGCCAATAACCAGCAACAGGAAAACTAGCCATTCAGGGAGGTAAGTGACGGCTCTGGCAGGCTGCGTGATTGGGTGTGTCAGAAACTTCTTTAGAAATGGCTATGGCTTTTGGTTTGCTTGATTTTTTTTTATTTAACAGAATTGGTTTGCTATTCACACCAAGGACTTGTTTCTATAATTATAATCCAATGACCTCCCTACGTCACCATCTGAATATAGAGCCGATAGATCGTGAGGACGTTTTAAAATAGTGTTGTGAGGGTATGTCTGTCTGAGGGAGGTAGTTATACCCTGTCTAGTTATACCCAAGGCCACAGAGAATGAGACTGTGCTGAAATGAGCAAGAAGGCACAAACTGTGGCCATGAGCGGTTGGAGTCAACAGAGAGGAGTGTCTGTTCTCTTTGTCCAAGGTTGTTGGAGGCACCTGCTTCTTGGGTTCTGCCACCACACTTTTAGTAGGACTCGTTGAGAATTCACGGGCCATGAAAAATATGCTCATGGGTTACAACTGCTGGAGAAAGGCACATACAGCTTGGAATAATATAAAAAGAACCGCTTTGCTCAGGGGTGGAACCCTGAGCTCCTCTAATTGGGCTAGTCACTTCTGGGTTGCTGCTTGCCTAGTCAGATCTCTTTTTTGTACATTTTGATATGCTGTCTCAGCCATATAGGAAAGAGGGTTCTCAATGATTTTGAAGCCTGTTACCATCTCCAGAATAAAGCAGAAGACAGAAAGGCTTAAATAGTCCAGAGTTCTTTTAGGTGGTCTACATTATGCTCCATTATTTTTAATTCAAATATAATTAGGTCATTCCGCCTTTCCCTTCCTTTCCTCCAGCTCCTCCGATGCCCTCTACTTTTTCTCTCTCAAATTTATGGCTTATTTTTCTTTGATTATTCTTCTCTTTTCTTTCTCTCTCTCTCTCTCTCTCTCTCTCTCTCTCTCTCTCTCTCTCTTTCTCTCTCTCTCTCTCAAACACACACACACACACACATTCTCAAATTTATGGCTTATTTTTCTTTGATTATTCTTCTTTCTCTCTCTCTCTCTCTCTCTCTCTCTCTCTCTCTCTCAAACACACACACACATACATTCTCTCTCAAATTTATGGCTTATTTTTCTTTGATTATTCTTCTCTCTCTCTTTCTCTCTCTCAAACACACACACACACACACACATACATTCTCTCTCAAATTTATGGCTTATTTTTCTTTGATTATTCTTCTCTCTCTCTCTTTTTCTTTCTCAAACACACACACACACACACACACACACACACACACACACACACACATACATCCTCTCTCAAATTTATGGCCCATTTTTCTTTGGTTGTTTTTGTCACATACATAGACACACACATACGTTTATGTGTGTGTACACGTAAGTGTTTAACTGCAACTTGCTGACTCCATTTAGCGTCGCTTGCATGTATGTTACTTTAGGCATGACCACTTTGAACTGGATAACCATTTAGGGGTTCCTCCCTAGAGTACACTGATTAGAAGCTTCTTTGATGAAGGATAAGAGACACAGTTAGCTGTGGTCATAACCAACAGCTGTCTCATTGGACCTAAGGCCAACTCAACAAGAGGAAAATCAGACCTCGTACTGGAAACCTAGTCAACTACCCAGGTTGTGGGTCTTAGAGGAAGACCTACTACTTACAGGAAACTAAAAACTACTACTTAGAGGAAAAGCCACTCTGTTTGACTGGCATAATTCCTTACTGTATTCTAAATACTGGCCCCATGATTTGATAGTAGAGTTAGGAATTATTTTGGCTTTTCTTTGATCCCAAAGTATGGAAAAATTACTCATTTCCACCCTGCAATGGGAAAGGGGATGATGCCCAATATTTATTAATCATCTCTAATTATCCGTCATTAGGATTCTACATTCAAAATTGTGTTTACTCTCCAGAGTAGTTCGCGTGTGCTGCCTAGTTTATAGGAGAGGTCCAGAGACATTATATAATTCAGCTAGGTCACAGCAAATGGTCATGTTGGATTTCAGACAACCTGACCCCAAAGTTCCTGTACCTTCCCTCATCCCCCATTTTACCTGCTTCCATTGGAATTCATAAAGGACAGTCTGCTATATAGATCCTCAACATAGTGTTTCAAGAGTCTAAGTCCTAGGCAGAGATTTTGCAGGATTCCATGGCTAGACTTGATCCCCTCTCCATCTCCCACCGCAAGTTCTGGGCTGCTTTATATTATGTCCTTAGGGATATTATTTTAATCTAATGACACTGTCAAGTTTCATAAGTTATTAGATTGAGACAGTTAAAAAAGATACCAAACCTTGAGCATAGCCTTATTTTATGTGCTTAACACAGAGAGGCCTTTCAAGTGGTATTTGTCATCTGTTTGCCAAAAGAGGAGATAGAATCTGTTGACCACTGCATGAGTAAAAAGACATGAAAACAATAATGCTAACAATTTCCTGGTTTTTCTTTCTTTTTATTTTCTTCAACACTAGGGAAGGAATCTATGGTCTTTTGCACACTAAGCAAGTGCTTCACCATAGCACAATACCCCGAGGCAGTAAATAACTCAGTTACATGTTGTAGCCACCATGGGATGCATTTTTATAAGCCTGTATTTATCACTGTGAGGTTGTAGAGTAGGTATAATCAGCGTAGGTGTAGTTTCTTCTCTGTTTAATACAGAGAAGCAATTGAGGTCCACACAAACACATTCATTTGCCTAAAGCCTCTCAGCTGGTGAGTTAATTAGCCCCAAGAAGTCTTGCTTCAGAAACAGTATTGTACACCTCACCAGGCTCCAAAGTGCTTCTCCTACTCACTCATCAGTGAAGTAAGAGAGTCTTACTAAAAGCTTAGCATGTGCACTGCCTTTTGCCTAGCAAGGTGGGAGATTCTAGTAAGAGATCAGCGAGAAGCAGTATCTGCCCACAGCTTGAGCAGAAAATAGTAGCCCACACCGAGTTCAGCAGCAGTAATAACACATTATTACTTGCAAAACAACCTATGTGCTATAAGTTGAGTTGCACAAGTTATGGCAGAACTTCCTAAGAGTTCCAGCAGGTAGGCATTAGCCCAGGGTATTGAATCTCAGAGATGAGTATGCAGCCGAAACACTGGAGAACTTGTTGAAACACGAGTCTGCTGGACTCTGCCCTCCCCACCTCCCCCCCCCCCCCGATCGAATTTCATAGGTGCAAAGTAGGGCTCAAAATCAGCATAGATTTCTAACTGGCTCCTTGGATGATGCTGGCACAACTGGTCCTGGGACCACACATTGAGAACTGCTAACTCGGAGAAAAGATTTGAAATTTAGAGAGGGTGAGTTCTCCACTCAAGGTCTCCTGGCTAGTAAGGGCTCAGCTTTTAAGCCAGCTTTTCCTTACGAAAGTTTCCAAAAGAACATGAAGCTTAAACAAGGACCACCTTAAACCAGGCCCCGCTACATGATAAGTAATTTTTGCATTTTGGATAAGTTCATGGAAGGATAAGAAAACTGCAGGCCGAAAGTGGAAGGAGAAGAAAATAAGCAAGATGTCTTAGAGTAATCAATGTTCTTACTAAATAAAGCCTTGGAGTTAATACTGCCTCAGTCAAGATCCATGTTCGTGTGCTTCCTCGTCTTCCTCTCTCCTTTACTGACTCTTCCTTCTCATCTCTTATCTCTGCACCTGTCTTTATCTCTTCTTATTTGTAAGAGAGGGTTAGAGCAGCACCAGCAAATTCTTGTAAGAATCAAATGAGTAAATGGAGAGGAACCCTTGCAAGCACAACTGAACACTGTAAGTTCAAGATGTGGTGCTGAGGAGAAGACATGGAGTCCGCTCAGCAGACAGGGTAGAGAAGTATAACTAATGATACTTTAGTCCAGGATGGGTAGGCCTGGAGAATGAGAATGGGTGACAAACATGGGAGCAAAATCATGTTCACCTGTCACCAGGTAGTACTAAGTTCCAGTTAGACAGAAACACGAAGCTCTGATGCATGGTACATGATGTGGTGACTACAGATCGCAGTAATGAACTGTACACTTGAAAAGGCCAGAAGGGGGTTTTGAATACTTTGCCATAAATAATAAATATTAGAGAGAGAAAGGTGTTTACTTGGGTTGATCATTGTTTACATGTGTCAGTCAATATCTGATGCCCCACTTATAAGTATAATTTTAGGATTATATGTATATATAACATATTTTATACATATAATTTACTTTAATTTATATAAATACATTATATATGCATGTACTTGTAAAGTTGTACTTATATATCAATTGAGAATAAATTCAGATGCGGTATAAAAGAGGAGATTGAGGATTGAAAATGATGAAAATTCATTATAAACATATGAAACTTTCAAATAAAAAATAAATTCAAATTAAAAATTATTGACAATCAGGTAAGTGGCTTGATAAATGTGGCATTTTAAGCAACTTGGCAGCATTTGAAAGCTAGATGAGGAGAGTAACCGAGTGAGGCAGTCATCCAGAAATTAAAATGTGTGTTTGAGCTAGAGAGGTGGCTGTAGAGGTGCAATCAAAATACAGTATAAAAGGTAGATAAATACGTGTGATGTTTTAGGAGAAAAAAAATAATTGTTTATTGTAAAAACAATATTACAGAAAATTAAATCCAAGAGAAAATAGCCTTGATTCTACCACCTTATTGCTCCAATTTCCTGTTGGCTTTTTATATAGGTGTAGAGATTATTTCTGGCATGGTTATAATAACTATGCAAATGAGCTTTTGTACCTTGATACACTAAGCATTATTTGATAAATAATTTTCATACAGGCTTCCTCAGTAATTCTAATTTTAATGGCTATATAATATTTCATCTGTTTATTGTATACTAATTTGTGTAATCAATCCTAAATTGTTGAATAATCAGGTTGTTTTCAATGTCTTGAAATTATAAAATAATTATCTGGAACATTTTGAATATCTATAGATTTTTTTCTCATTTTGAATTAGCTCATGAAAACAATTATCTGAAACACTTATTGAAGAAGCTAGTATCTGGAGTTTGGGTTACTACTTCACAGTACATT